GAAGAAGGGAGCTTCTTCGACAAAAGCTTAACTTTCAAATAGGGCAATATAAAAAACAGAACAATAAACAATCAGTCAAAACACACAGCAAATACTAAACATGTGGGTCACAAACTGTTCAGTGCTATACCCTGAAAGTCTGGGCCTGAGAATCTATTTTTAGGAATATTTTCTCTCTTATAATTAAATAAGCCAAATACAAATCACTTCCTCTTGCTGCTGCCAGAAGAATCCTTTAAAACAATCCATTCATTTAATTCACCTGAGATGAGGAGGTATTTAAAAAATATTTGTGCAAAAGCTTGCCAAACCGATTATTGTTAATTATTAGTAGACACTGTGCTGGAGTGACACTGCAGTCTACACAGATGTAAAAATAACTGAGTTTTAGATAAATTAAGAGAGAGAAGTTTCTGGGATGAAGTTCATTGAACTTGCAGTTAAAGAGGAAGAGCTTTAGCACTTCATGAGGAAATGTGGTAATCCTTTTAAAAATATTCTGACATTTCCAGATTTTTATTAGTTGGAAATATACTGTCATGATGATTAAACTGCAAAGGTGTTTAGCCTGTATTTTGACAGAGAATGACTGCAATAGTAAGGCTTTATTTATACAGCAGAGCATGCTATGTAGCAAAGAATATTTGAAAATATTCTGTATCTTAAAGAAGCTGTCAGGAAGTGGTTAGTCATAACTTGCTAATATGAGCAGTTTTAAAGCAAATGGATATTAGAGAAGAAGTGACCAGGAACCAAATAAGTAAGTTACCCTTTTGTGTCCTTGACCTTTGACTCGCTTGGATCAAAATTTGACAAAGATTGCAGCTGCGAAGTATATTACCACGAGATGTAGGTAGTGGCTTTTAGTCAGACTGTAAAAATAACGTGCCCCCTGCCTCCTGGCAAAAAGATAAAGAGGGAACTGACGTCTCTTGGAATATATAAACACTCCCTTGGAGTTTACAGGCTATGTGCTTGGTGGGGAGATTTAGCTGCTTGTCTTCTCGTAACTTGATGCAAGTCATGTGTTAAGTACTCGTACGTTCAGCTGAAAGTCAGTTGCCCTTATTCAAGGTGAGTCATATGATACAACATTTAAAATCAGAAGGTTTTCCTCAGAAATACTTTTAAATTCAGTTGGTGGAGAGCTCTTGAAAATATTTATTTGTAATATAAAATAAAATGAGAGGTTTTTGCAAAGCTGTTTGCAAGAAACAGTGAAATTTTACATGTATTATATTAGAAATGCTTCGTTACTATGTTAGCAATGGTATTCTATGTTCAGTATTGCTCGCTTTCCCAATGGCATTCTGTCTTGATATTTAGTATTCTTGAAACTACAGTTCTGGAGTCATGTGAATTTATAAGAAATGTATCTTTTTAAAGTGTTATTTGTAGCATTTACTATTGCAGATAAAAAACTCAAAACTATAATTTCAAAGTATGTCAAAGATTTAAAAAAAAAAAAACAAAACACAGAAATAACCTCTTTCCTGTAAATGTATCTCTTAATAATTTCAGGATTTTTAATCCCACCATCTGACCTTGGAGAAACTGGAATTATGTTTAAAGAAACACCATGGGTTTGGGTTGAAACTCTTAAACTCTTATAGGAATTTTCAAAACCCATTTTAATTTTCACTATACACACTGCTTCTTCCCCATGTAGTTGCTCTCATTTGGGGCAATAAATCTAATTCTCTGTCAGAATTGAAGTAATTCCATGTCAAGCAATGTTTAAAAATCACTATTAGAGCTGGAGAAATCATTAAAATACAGATAATATTTATTGATTTTTATAATCTTATAGAGAAGTATAAGTTAAGTAGGGAACAAAAAGTGTAATAACATTTTGCATGTCCTCATATTCAGTTCCTTATAAATTGTCTTTTCAGAGATTTGAATAGACCATTTCCATTGCTAGTATTCTATTAAGGATATTTGAAATAATATTAAAAAGTACATACCCAACACTCTAGAATGTGGTGAATATTCTTATTAATCCTGTAGTCCAATCTAAGTTTAATTGATAATATAGTCTCATAAACAATATCTAATTTTGTTATGGTACTTTCTATTCTGTTTAAGGTAAATTATTTTCTCTTGAATATGAATTCGCAGACACAACTGCATTCTTATTGGGAATTTGTACTTTAATCTTCATATTTTACATTCAGTTGTGATAGATGAGAATAGCTTGTTGACTTCTATGTGAGATTGTGTGTTATGTTGTGAGTGCTCTTCATTGCAGTTCTGTAATGGATAATTTGAATTGCATAAATTGAGATATGTCTAGACTGCTATTGCATTGTGTTTGGTGGGAGAAGGGTGAATATTTTACAATTTGCAAAAGCTTGGAATAGACACGAGTTATTAGCAGCCAGTTGCTTTCTAGCTGTTTATTGCTAGTGCTCATGAGAGATACCTAGTCTGCCTCACATAACAAAAATCTATTGCAACAGCTTGTAGAAACAGATGGAAATGCATTTTGGTGGAAGGTGTATATCTGTTGAATTTGAAAATCTTCAGTATGTAAGCCTAGAAAAAAAGTCTGACAATGTCTAAAAGCCCTGTTTAAACATTTATGGAAGAGATAATTTCCATTTTTAATTCTAAAATGTGTATTTCCACACTTTTAAAAAAATCATATTCTGAAAAGAACATATTTGAAGTTGATTTTTTCCCCAATGTTCTTTTCAGAATTTGATTTCATTGAGAATTTGTGCTTCAGTATTATAGTTCTGCTTTTGCCAGACTGAAGATCCTGATCCGAACATATCTACAAAGATAGGAGAGTTGGTCCTAGTGATTTTCACTTAAAAATTCTTCAGGTCTAATGAATTTCTAACTTGAGTTTGCTTTGAAGTTTGCTATTAGCCACATTATGCATCCATCCACTATATGAAAGAGCCTTTAGTAACTTGGTGTTTTTATAATTGTCAAGTCATCTTTCCGTTATCTTTGTGAAAAGTGCAACAGGTTGCATGAAACCTTTGGGAAAATAGATTTTTTTCTTGATGTTACCTGTTTGCGGAGTTTCTATTGTTGTGTGCAGAGGCACAGAGTAACAGAGCTGGTAGAGAGGAAAGCAACGAAGTAAACCTGTGATTCAAATAAGATGCATGTCCTCCAGCAAAGCCAGGTTTACAGCTGTAAAGAGACTCTTCTCGGTCCCTAGCCAAAGTAAAAAACTTTAGCAAAATCTGGCTTCTTTCTTGGTCCCTTGTATGTGCAGGTAAAGCAATCAAAGGGTAAAGTTTTGATGTGGGAACTACAAGGAATCACCTGGTGGCAGGTGGATGGACTGGCTGACTTTTATAGAAAGGGTATTTTTCTGAGATTGCAAGTAGTCTTTTGGTCATTCTACTTGCAAGTATCCCCAGGGACAAATTATTAAAATACCAAATGAGCTCAAATATACAGAAATAGTTATTGTTAATGTCAAGGGACACATAAACTGCTGCTAGTTCAAGAGCAGGCAAAAGGTGGGTTTCCAATGCAGATACAAGGAGCAGTCTGAGCTCAGGTACAGACATGATACGATTGTGAGTTTAGTAGGACATGGGAGGATGCATCATTAGCCTGCTGACCATGGTACCTTATATGTCAGTGCATGCTGTATGTGTCTTTTTTTTTTTTAAATAAAAGCATCCTATAACTGTGTTTATGGAAATAGAAGACATGCTATTCCTACACCTGCTTTACTCTTTAGAAATCCATGAAGAGTTTTCAACCCTTTAATCCTCATGAGTAAACTGGGAGTTCAGGTTGAGCTGTTCTTCTACTCCATCTTTCTATTTTCCTTTGCTCTCTGTGTTTGGCCCTCTATGCATAATTAACTCTGCAACTCATACCTGCTTTAAAATTGATTTAGAGATGGTCACAACATGTTAACAAATGGAAATTGGTAAGAATAAAAAAGATATGGACAATGACATCTAAAATAGAAAACAGCAGACTTTCTATTAGCTGGAGGTCTAAAGCAAATAACAAATTTGCAAATTCTGTGGATGTGATTAATTTCTGAGCAAGAATAAATTACAAATTAGGCAGCTCTTTGTCTCAGTTACTCATAAACAGTAACAAATGGGAAAAAATATCACTGGGAGCTTATGTTTTACCATATGTCTCATCAGCGGTATCATTCTGATTTTCTTTACAACACCTTTCACTAGGGGCCAGATCTGAAGATATGTTAGCACATATTACCAGCAACTGTTGTTTTCCAGGGACTGATTGCAGACATGTTTTTTTCTGAGACTGAATGATCTTGAAATATAAGGTGTTATATCTTTCAAAGATCAAAATCTAGACTCACTTTAAGAAGTCTACCTTTCTGTAAGGCAATTGGGATTGATGAAACTAGGTGATGGTAAAGATGCAGCTCTGGAAAATCCAGTCATGCTTTTGTCATGAAGTTGCTGAAATGAAGTTTTATCCCTTCAGTAGAAGACTGTGGGCTGACAGAGATCTGGAAGGAGGCTTCTAGTAGGTGCCTCCCATTAGATGCTGCCATTGCCACCAAGGTGCTGATGGACCTTGAGGACTTCCTTACTGGCATAATGCAGAAGCAGTCTGGGTAGCTCACACCAGTGGTGTAAACTCCTGGTTTTACCTGAAGTGGGAGCCATGGGCATTGCAGGCTGTGACAAAAGCAGAGGGCTATAGCTTCCTCCCTTGTCACAGAGAAATTTTAGAGAAGGTGCTTGCCTCAGGAAGAGTGTCAGCTGAATAATAATTTTGTCAGTTTGCCCTAATGCAACAGAGCCGGGGAAAAAAAAAAAAAAAAAAAAAGACTAATGAAAGAACTTATTGGTCTTTTAAAGAATTGGAATAAAAAAAGATAAAGATCTGTAACAAGTGACTAGCTTGCCAAAAGTACATGCAATTCTTTTTTTTTTTTTTTTTTTTTTGGCACTGGCTGTCACTGTCTGGCTGGTTTTTACGTTTTATCTTCCTACCTGCTTCACGTCATGCACTTTGTACTTTGAGCTTTGGAATGTTGGGACCAAGAAGTGAGAAAAAACCATCAAGCCTTACAGCAAGAATTTTTTCATTGTCTGTCTGCACCTTGACAAAGGAGAGGAATGGGCTGTAACAGAAACTGTGGTCTCCTCACTGGGGCCGTCATCGGTGCTGTGCTGGCTATCTTCGGAGGAGTTCTGATACCAGTTGGAGATAAACTTATAGGCAAAGCAATAAAAAAGGTACAATTTTTTTCTTTTTTTTTTTCAATCTGTATGGTTTGTGGTTAATTAAATAGTCATTATTTCCAAATCTTGTGTTTCTGTTTTTTTCCTTTTTTTTTTTCTTTATTAAACTTAGTTTTTGTAATATTTGCAATCCAGAATTCCCTGGGACTAGACACTGCAACAATATTTTTTTGATATATTAATTATATTGTCATGTTTACTTGCTTGCTGTCTTTCATGCTTCACATAAGAAGCCAAAATATTGTTTTCAAGATGTGTTTTCGGTAATGTAATTTAAAGTAAGTGGGTTTTATTTTTATTTTAATTATGTTTTTCTCTAGTTTCTTTATTTTTTCCCCAAGATGATCCACTTACTAATTTTTCTGCATTTTTTTCTTATTTTAGTAATCACTCCATGCACTTATATTTACGTACTGTAAATAATCTAAACAAACTTCTGATGCAGAGTCTAAGCCTACACTTACATGCATTCAGTTCACATTCTGTGACTATATGCTCCAAGCCAATGATGTGCTCCACAAGACTACAGGATCTAATCATGTATATCTCCTTGATTCAAGGATTGTGAAGAGTAATTGAAGTAGAGTGTTGTAGACCTGGCAGACACAATTTTTTTCTGTTTTTTAGATGATTTTATTTCTTTAAAATACAGTTTTGTCTTTAAACAAAAATGAAAAGTTAATTTGTTAAATCCTCAGTGAAAAGAGTGAAAGAAACTGAGGGTCTAAATCATGGAGTAATCTGGAGTGAAAGACCATGGAAGCTCTGAGGTGTTCCTTATGGAGACATGGAGTTGCCTTGTGGTCACTTCAGCCAAGGTGGGCTCTCCTACAGTTAAAAATCTAGAAACCTTAAGGTCTTTGGCTTATGGTTAGTCCTCCTAATAATCTGCTGTGGCGCTGAAGACTGTGGAGATCTTGGAGATACTTATTCAAAGGTCCTCTGGAAGACTGCCCTTAACTTAACAGCTATTGAAGTCAATTGAGGAGGTGGATATATGAACTGTCAGGAGACGTTAAACTGTCTGTTGAGGCCCTGTCTAGATTCTACCATCACTTTTTTAAAAAATTGAAAAAAATGGCTCCAACATAACATTTTAATTTTGTCAGCAAACTCAGAGAAAACGTAACTGTAGAGGAATTTTCCAATTCTTACTGTATTTTTCATGAAATTTTCAAATTTATGGAGAATAAAAAAATAATTCTCACTAGAAAATGTCTCACCCACCTTGCAACATTTTACAAAAAAGTCATACTCTCTATATTTGCAAATTATTTTAATTGATTGACATATTGAGTAAATGGCAGGTTTTCTAGAAAGCACATAGTTTTAAAAATGTGTATCTCCTTACATTAAATATTTACTTTGAGTTAATCCAGAGTGTTGTCTTATGCCATTAAGTATTTTCAAAGCAAATTACATGTTAGCAATGTTATGTGTTCATCTGTTTACTTATAATAATGAACGAGTTATACAGCATGGTTTGCAATTGTCTACATATGAAATTATACCTACATGAGTTCTTAGTGGTAAAGTATTAGACAGAATAATTTTTTCCTCAACTTCTTTATAATTTTCTGCATTGTAATCATGTTTCAGATGCTTGTACTTGTTTCAAGGCAGCCTGTTTGATATATATAAAAAGGAAAATTTGTGCTATTATTCATGTAAAACATAAAAAAGTAAATTTGTAGAGGCTTTATTTATTTAAGAAAATGGATACTTTTTTTCCTAAGCACAAGTCATACTAGATTATTTTTTTCCTATTTATCATGCTGACTATTTTGTGAGACCATGAGACTCTAAACCAATTCCTTTTCAGAAAAGATATGCCAAGGTGCAACATCTGAAATATGTCATCAGTTCAGCAGATGCTCAAGAGAGACTTGAATCTAACTAATTCTGATTTACCTGTATTGATGAAAGGGCTAGTAAGAAAAACAAATATTTGTTGTTCACTGCAGTTATATTTAAGATAAATTTAGAGCTGACTGCAAAGGAAAGAGGTTTGCTGGACAGAGCATACTGAAAATACATTTTTTTCTGAAATTTTTCACTTTTGGAAATGTCGTTTTTTAAGGAAATGTTTGGTAGAAACAGCTCAGTTTCAATGACAATTTTATTTGGAGTGTCTCAAGAATAGAGACTCTGGGACAGGAAAAAAACTGATGAGCAAGACATTCTCTCAGATATGGCCTGTAAGCATTTATATTTACATTTGGACTCACATGAGGCAAAGCCTGAACTTAGGTTCTCACCTACTGGATGAAGACACATGTCAAATGTCAAAAAAAAAAAAAAAAAGAAAAACTGTTTCAGATGTCACCATTATAAGCAAAATCATGACTTAAATTCTGCATAGTCCAAAGCTTGAAAAAAGACCCCTAGTTGTTGCTCTGCCTATCCTATCTCAGAGTAAATCCTAGTTCTTTGTGCAAGTTGACAGCAATACAGTAAGACCAAATCTATATTTCTATTGGAAATGAATTTTGGTATAAAATGCTATTGCTGGATTAAAGAAACAAATGTTAAATAATTTTTTTTCTCCTGAATGGCTAGTTTGAGAACACTTCATACTATAACAAGTCAAATTGTCATAAATTAACTTGTTACCAAGATTTAGTCAAATCACGTTATCATCAATATACTCTCAAGCAAGTCCAGTTGAGCTTCTTAGCATCTCCCAGTAAATAGGGACAGCTTTAATTTCAAAAATCGATGCAATCAGTAATTCTTACCATTCTTGTTCTGCTAGCAGCAGCATCTTTGCAGCTTACCAAACCCTAACAACCTCGTTTCTTTATTGCAGTCATTCAGAGAGTAGCCTGAGTAAACACTGCAGGACATATTTTGCTGGAAGGCTGCATACTGTTGTTGCAGCAAAGAGAAAGCACCTGCAAGTGTATAGACAATCTCAGATGCCCTTAGAAACTTGACAGAGACTCTCAGGGTATAGGCTGCTATCTCCCAGCAGGCAGGTACTGTTCTCCACCCATGAACAGTCCATGGGAGGACAACCCAAACAAAGTCCATGTAACACCAAGATGTCACCTCTTCATGTGTTCCAGTTCATTAACATACGTCTGTGCTTCAACACAAAACACATTGCTACCTTCTCTAATGCCAGACTGCTCTACCTTTGCCTCAGATCTTTTGGGGATAAGCTGTTTCTACCCCTGCCTCCAGCAGTTTTAAAGAATTTCAACATTACATACATTTTCTTTATCTTTATAGAGGCTCCTTAAAGAAACTGTCACTTGAAGAGCACACTCAAAATGACACCACCAGCAGCATCTTGGCAGGGATCCACTGAATGAGATTAGTACTAAGCTATTTCAGCTCTGATACTATTCAGGGAAAGGAGACTTCCCCCTTAAAAGGTGCATTTGATTTCAGTACCGAAGGGCAAAAATCCTAGTTTCCCCAAACACTTAATCCATCCAGAGGGGAGGGATGCCTTTCCATGAAGGCCTTAGGGGTTTAGAAAACTGTCATTGGTAAGTTAGGCGTGAAACATGGAAGTTTCGGAGTTCTTTACAAAAAATGTTTTGTTTGAGGCTATCAAAATGTACCTTTTTAATTGACTCCACACATTTCGGTTGCACATTGTCATGTTTATTATCATTATTATTAGACATTATCATGTCTAACGTTAAAAAAAATCAAAAGGAAACGTGAATTCAAAACAACAAATCAGAATGCTTGAATCTAATATTGTTGAAAGGAGATATTTTGACATGTCTCAATTACTACTTTTTGCCTTTTCCTGCCTTAAAACAATATTATTTATTTAGGCAAAATTCCCATCATTTCAGTTATGATAAAACTGTTGGTTTTTTTTCAGCTGATCAGCTCTTTTTTCCAGCTAGGTCTAACCACTCAAACCCATTGGTAGCTCATTCATTTGCCAGAAAAATATTTATTACCACTTCTCTAAGAGCTTTTGCTTTCTACCTGAGCGCGTGAGCTCAGGAGGTTAACAGAAGCCACATAATGTTACTTAATATATTTAATTAATGATGAATTGATAATACAGAATGGTGTATGATTTGCCACGATACCTCAGTGCTGCAGTCTTTCTGTAGATTCATCAGGGTTAGTCTCTGCTATTTTTAGAAATAAAGCTATTGATTTTAGCTATTATTATGTTTAGCCATCTGTCTCTCTATATATCTGTCATCTATGATTGGCCAGATTATATCTCCTCAGCTACTGGAGGCATAGGAAACACTTCTAATTTAAAATTGTGTTTGTGACATTCACATGCTACTTCTTTATCTAAACTAATGAAGGTGAAGCAACTGCTGGCTCTCATTTATTACTTAAAGAGTAATAAATGGCTATTTGTACTTTCAGTTGCAAAAGAGAAGAAGATAACTTGCTTTCCTGGAACTTAACTTACTCAGTTTTACACAATTGTATCGTTTGTTTCCTCCATCTTACACATGCAGCTCAAAGCATACAACATATAGAGAATAAAATAGTAACAATTTTGTTACAGCCTAAAGTATTCATGGCATCTCTCAGTTCCCAGAAAATGGCATCTTTTGTCCACCTGGCCAGATCCTTTGTCAAGACAGCAACTTTGTCTTACATTTTGTATTTCTTCGTCAGAAATCATGATGGCTGAATTTAGCGTAAAGCAACAAAGTACAGCAAGCTTCTGTTGCTGACTGCTTCGCATCTCTTGAATTTATGTATTGCCAGTTGACCCTCCAAAAGTGGGGGAAAAATTGTGTCAGAAACAAAAGCGATTAAAGTTCCTATTGATTTCACTCAGTCTTGCACAGTTAGGTCATGAGATGAACTTGGTTGTGTGGCAATTCCATACTGTATAGCTACTTTTGTTAACAATAGTTAACTATTGCATAAGATATTAAAGCTGATGTAGGTCGAGTAGGGAGTTGAGAAATGTTTCATATTATCAATTGCAAATTAGTAGTTACCCAAATTACCCTACCTTTCGTAATATCACAAAGCATGGCAGTGTTACTAGTGGAATATAAAAGTGACCAGCCATAGAGAGGGGTAATATTTAGGGCTGGCCTCACCAGTGATCAGACAGCCAAAACCCAAGGGCTTGCTGTTGTGAGGGTATTAGTTTTATTAAATGAAGATATGAATAAAGACAGAGCTCTAAATTTCCTTCTGCTTTAACCCACCATTTGCATTCTTGAAGTATGTGCCAGAGAATCATACACACCTCCTTTGTGGGAGAAATGTTATTAACAATAATGACTGAATGCCACCAAAAATAATGGTCTTGCTCCCTTCCTCCCACTCCCTCTTTTGTCCTGCTGCTTCCCTTATTTTAACTCTGGTTCTCATCTGATCCTTTCCCCTACCCACACCACGGAGCCAAGTGGCTCACTGGTAGAAAGGTAACCCAGGAAAAACAAACAAAAAAAAGAAATAATCTTCCTCCAGTCCAGCAGGAAGAAACAGCTCCCTGAGGAATGAAATCTGGCACAAAGGAAGGGGGAGGCATGTGGATCAGGTACCAGGGGCTGTGGGAGCTGTCTTGCCCCTTTGGCCTCAGCACTATCAGGTTGGATCAGCTGTCCCCTTGAAGCATCCCCCAAGAGTGTTCACGGTGGCATTAGCACAGAGTAAATGGTGCGCTGCAAATCCGCACAGTAACTCGTTGTGACCTGGCTGTCCCATGTACTCAGGTCTCAGGGACCTCTTTGTACGATGCCCAAAGTAATTTTTCTCTATTGGCATTTCCTGAGGGTCACGATAGACACACTAGTTATTCCTGCATGAAAAATAAAAGAGAGCCACCCCACCTCTTTAGGTGGACAGCAGATTTGTTCTAGATTGATAAGAAAGTACATAGTATTGTGAAGTGCAGTAAAAGGCAGTACAGAAAGTACATGAAAAGGCTCGTCACATAGCCTACGGTCTCAGTTTACATGAAAAGTTGTCCTGGTTGTACTAAAAAACTAGTATAAAGTCCTGCACACTCTTAGCTTTCCCTGCAGTAGCAGAGAGAGGATTAGAGGCCTAAATCCATCCTTTGGAAAAAATAAGATCATTTACATGGAGAAAGCTGTGAGGAAGCATGTTCCTTATATTCTTCCAAGTCAACACAAAGTCATAAGATATGATTATTGCAGAATAAACATTTTTCAAAGTGCCCAAAATGTCTAAAGCTAGAGGCAGGTTGGGGACTATTTCTGTGCCTCTCAAGGATGGGAGAAGTCCTGTGGCTCAGGCACTCGGAGCAACCTCTCCAGTGGCAGGGGAGTCCACATATCATTCTGTGCTATTATAACCCCTAGCAAAGGCTTATAAGGGGAGGGAGGAATGGATGGAAGGGAAAAGTTAAAGTTTTTAAGAAGCAAGTAACACTGCTTTAAAAGCTGTTGTCGCAAGGTTGAAACTTCGCTATTCATTTCTGTGCCTGTGTGCTTTTGACTTCTAGAGAGATTAGTTTGTCCTCTTTACCATTCCTTGCCAGGAATCCTCAACCATTTCCCTGTCCCAGTTACAGAGAGGCAGGAGGTCAAATCCTGGCATCTGCCCCCATCCCAGGACCCTGCTGAGGGCAGATCACAGACAGACTCTTGAGCAGTCCAAGCTGCGCATTTCTTTATATCAGTCTGCTTCTCTCAGATCCTTTAAGCAATTCTCTGTGGAAACTGAAAAGGTGATTTCCAAATCATATAAGCATTCCTCTCTTCACCAAGGAGATGGTCTTCCCCATGCTGGATCACAACTTTGATAGACTCTTTGGCCTCCTGAGGTTCGCAAAACAAGGCTGAAGAGAGTTTTAGCTGTTGGGTTTGAGTGCAAGACCTCAAGCTGATAACACATTTGCTGTGGCAAGGTTTCCTTACCCTCTCACACAAATGCACATAAATTATAGCAGATATTCAGACAGCAAGCCCAGTGTTTTACACTCCCAGCAAGGCATTTGCAACTCCACCACACAGGTTTTCCAGAGACAAAGCCTTGCCTGTGTTATGAGTTCTCCAAGACATGGTATTTGTTTCTAACTGCAGTAGTTCTTAATTGGTAGTATTCTTTTTTATTGATGGTGCTTGCTAAGCAAACTCTAGAGGCAGAACATTAAGGTAGAAAGAAAATCTAGCAACTTGTAATTTAAAATGTCTTTTCTTGCTATCTGGAGGGATTCCAGCCTTTTGCTTCCTGGGACTCTGTGAGCTGTGCAAATTAACTAATTAATATTGCACAACTCTAATAAAAAAACATTTTATATGTTGGAGCCAGGCAGCCTGGATTTTTCTTCTTAGTGAAAAAAACTTTTCTAAATTTTTAGCACCAAGAGGAAAAACATTATTCCAGGACTTTGTGAAAATCATATAGAAAAAGACCTGATGTAGACCAGGCAGAGCAAGCCTTCCCCTGACAATACAGGAAACGTACCTTCAAACTCTCCTTCTCACTGTGCAGTCCCAAGGTCTGAATAGGCATTTACTGTATCATAGCTGAGTGCCACAGACAGAAAGCTGTTGGTTACCCTAGAATGGTTCCTGATGTCCTGTCTTGTCCTTATATCCACATCTTTCCCCCATTTCCTGTACCCAGGAAACCTTACTAACAAAATGTTAGCAAAACTGGAGAGATTTCTTAGAAAGTCTTAGTTTTGGTGACAAGAGTTTTCTGACCAAAAAAAAAAAAAAAAAACCAAAACAAAAACAGTCCTGCAGGAACACTATTTGCTTTCTCTGGGTGCAAAATTATTTAATGCCTGAGTAATGCTCAGAGATAACTCTTGTTCCTCCCCTTGGCTATTTACAATGTATGAAAAGTAGTTTATGAATTCTAAAAACTGCTGGATATCATTCAGTCATTCAAAGATTTTCTTTTTACAAATAATCAATGGATTTGGCAAGTATTTGGGAGCTACAGCAATGCCTGAGCACAGCAGCAGGAAAGTTTTTCTGCTGGCTACAGTAGCAATTATATCAGCTTTGTGGTCACTTATTTTAAGGGGACTCACTTGTGCTCTCAAGGTAGGCTGCCTTCAAATGTTGGCCAAAAATGTGTGCTGTATGCCTCATATTGATGATAAAATAGTTTGGGTTTTTCTTTTTCTGTTTGTTTGGGAATCTTCTACAAGCATCTGCAACTTGTCACTCATTTTTTGTGGTTAATTTTAGCTTTGATTTTTGTCCTTTTAGGATGCTGTCATTGCAAATGGTACCATTGCTTTTGAAAATTGGCTTGTGCCAGGAAGTACAGTTTACAGGCAATTTTGGGTTTTCGATGTGCAAAATCCTTCAGAGGTATTAGACAAAGGAGCACGTCCAAGACTTGAACAAAGAGGACCTTACACATACAGGTAAGCAAAGACCCCTGAATATGTGACATCATATCAGAAGTTTTGTTAAAGTCAGAGAAAGTTCTGCTGAGTTAAAATTTGTTTTTGAAAGTACGGCATCATATTTTAGTCAGACTTGACAAAAATGCCTAAATTGCAGCTACACACAGTGATCACAAACACTTTCTGTATAGCATCTCACATTGGGAAAACGCATATAGAAACAGGCAATGGGGTGTGAAGCTGTTTGCTCTTGTGAAAAATGATTCCTCATTAGCAAGGTGCTTGCCACAACAAGACACAGGCCCAGTGTCATTTGTTGCTGTTCAGTTTTTGCCAGCCTTTTACATAGAAGAAACTATGCCAGATGCCCTAAAAGCAAAAGTTTATCTTATCACCCATGTATCACTCACATTTATTTTAATAATGTGTTTTGATTCTTTGTTCCTTTATGACTTATTCTTAATCTGTAGCTTTTCCTTTTTCAATTTTTCCTCTAGAAAACATTCCTTTTTCTGAATCTACTAGCTAGGGCCTAGATGCAGCTGTCCATCCCCATTCAGGGAAGCTTTTAATCATTTGCTTAATTTTAACCGTGATGTTGATGGACTAGTTGTTGCTTCCTGAGTCATTAAGCCCAATACCCAGCTATCACTGGCACCATTATTATGAAATTGCTTCCCTAAAATGAAAAGATATTTCTTTCTTGATGTCTTTGGGGATGTATATTGTATTTGCAAGATAGTTTTGCATTGCAGCACCTACGGCTGAGGTGCTTTGATGCCTAAAAGATTATTTTTTTCTCATTGGAAATAGAGAACTCTTGGTTCATAGAGTACCTGGGAAGACATAGGAAATGGTTACACAGGAATCAGGAAACTAACCAGTTAAGAAATACTGCAGAAGGTGAATTCCCACTAAACAGAAATGTTTTACTCTGATGGTGGTGATGGTGCCTATTTTCTCAGGGACAAATCTCTGCCAGAAGCCTAGATGAGACTATATAAGAAATGATGGCTATAGCTCTTCTCACTGCTGTGGTCATGCTTACCTGGGATATTGGATCTACCTGAATCACTGTGACACTGAGTCTCTCTCTCTCAATCTCCCTTTAAATATTTAATTATTTATTACAGTGTAGAACAACTGGCCTTGAAACACAACTGTCCCCTCAATTCGGTTGGGAAACCTTGTTTTAGGTCTTTTGTTTCCAGTTAGAAGTAACATTAATCAGAGAAAAAAATCTCCCAACTTTCAGGTAGGTGCCCTACACATTAGGCTATTAATTAAAATGACATGCTCACAAACCAATCTTGAGAAGCCAAGATCCAGCTGCTTTTGGGGTAAGGCTCACCTGCACTGGCTACATCTGTACCATGGAGAAATGCTCTCTGAACATTTTGGTCCTGCCACGCCCAGGCTGGAAGGTCTGATGGAGCACTCTAAAAATCCCTTCTGGGATGGAGCTGGGACAAGCTTTGTGGACCCACAGCATAGACTAAGTCATCTGATGCCTGCTGGATGCTGCCCCCACAGAAGGGTCAACAGGAGGACGGGGACCTGAAGAGTTGAGCTAACGCTAGAACTGCATCAGCTCAGAGATTTGTACCTTAGTGATCTGCTGACAGGGCATACTTGAGAGGCTTGTGAGAATCTCAGTGGAGCTGGAAGACTGCTTATAATTCTCCACATACATATGAAATGTTATCAAAGTGACTCCTATTATGGATTTAACCTGTCATCTGTTTTTGTTGCAACACAAGCCTATAAAATAAAAACTTAAGAGTGTTTCTTAACTATTCTGAGTCATCCCCTTCTAATTACATGCAGCCATGAGAAAGCTTAGAAAAAAATGTGACGGAACATAATTAGTTTAAAACAAAATATAAAAAGATACAAGGTCCATTACTGAAATAAAAATAAAAAAGAAATATTTGTTTTCATTTTAGTATTGAGAAAAAAAAATCCATTAGGCACTAAGGGAATATTTTCAAAAGAAATATATTTTACTGAAAATGGAATTTTTACATATATTCACATGAAAAGTTTAGAATCCTTTCAGTGGTTATAAAATGTTCAACATTCATCTACAAAAATGTTCATCAACTTTTCAAAAAACTTCAGTCAGGCATGACTATGTGTTGTCTTGAAAATCAAATGTTAAAAATATTCTGTGTTTTTATTTTTTATTTCAAGGGTGCGATATTTACCCAAAGAAAATATCACGGAAAACTCTGATGGCACAATATCCTACATGTTGCCTAACATTGCTCATTTTGAACCTGATATGTCTGTTGGGACAGAAAATGATACCATCACATGCCTCAACCTTGCTGTTGTTGTAAGTAAAGAAACAAAACCATAATGTCCACATTAAAATGTTGAGATACTGGAGGAAATAGGGAAGAAGTTAGCATTAGTAATACTGAAACTGCCACAGGATAGATTTCCTCTCTATGAACTCAGATGACATGAGTGTCAGCTATACTGAGGAAAGATTTATTACTGTATTTAAAAAAAAAAAAGTAAAATTCTGAGGACATATTGCATATATATTAAGGTTCCCTTATATTCCCAGGGTAATCTTAATGGTAAATGAAAATTGACTTGTTCCTGTCAATGGAAGCAAAGTCATCAGTTTGGATGGGATGTATCCAAAAGCATCCTCCTAGTCAATTTTAGTGTGGGAATGAATCAAGAGCTTGTGGATGGATTGTCTTTCTGTGTGAGGTACAGCATGAACTGTACAAGTCGGATTTGCCATATTCTTTCCATAATATCCTCAGTCCTGCTTTGCAGGGGAGGCTGTATTAAATCCCATGCTTGGTGTATGCATGGCCTCGCTGCCCCAGCTGCTTGCACCCCATGGTGGCCCTCAGCACCGCTGCAATGGCATCCCCTGAGCTCTCCTGTCCTACTGAGACCTTAGTCCTTCAAAGAAAAGCACAGGGGTCCCCACCTAGAGTAGTGCCAGAGCCTTTTCAGCCCAGATGTTTTTGCGTTGTCACAGGCTGAGAATGTTTGCCTTTGATTAACATTTACAGTTTTCATATTTATATTCAACCCTGGTTCTGTTGCCTTATTGTCTTGCACTAACTCTGTGGTGTCTGTGTGTGAGTGTTCAGGATCACTGCAAGAGGGTGGGTGCTAGGGGCAGAGTGAAGAGATGCTTGGTGTTAACACAATATAGAATCATAGAATCAATCACAGAATCATAGAAGAACCTGTGTTGGAAGGGACCTCAAAAGATCATCTGATACAATCTTTTCTGAGAAAGGGAGCCTAGATGAGTGTTGTGGTTTAAGTCCAGCCAGCAACTAAGCACAACAGAGCTGCTCGCTCATTCCCCCCTGGTGGGATGGGGGAGAGAATCGGAAGAGTAAAAGTGAGAAAACTCATGGGTTGAGATAAAGACAGTTTAATGGGTAAACCAAAAGCCGCGCGCGCAAGCAAAGCAAAGCAAGGAATTCATTCACTACTTCCCATAGGCAAGCAGGTGTTCAGCCAATGGCATCATATGGCATGGAATATCCTTTTGGTCAGTTGGGGTCAGCTGTCCTGGCTGTGTCCCCTCCCAGCTTCTTGTGCACCCCCAGCCTCCTTGCTGGTGGGGTGAGAGGCAAAAAAGGCCTTGACTCTGGGTAAGCACTGCTCAGCAGTAACAAAAGCATCCCTGTGTTATCAACACTGTTTTCAGCAGAAATCCAATACATAGCCCCATATGAGCTACTATGAAGAAAATTAACTCTATCCCAGCCAAAGCCATCACAATGAGATTTTCTAGAACCCTGTCCAATTGCACCTTGAAAACCTTCAGTGATGGAGACTCTACAACATTCCAGTGATTGACTGTTCTCACTGTAAAAAATTTCTTTCTTCTATCAAGGTGAAATCTTTCCTGGTGCAACTTGTACCCATTGCCCCTTGTCTTCTCCCTGTCGCTCCTTGTGAAGAAAAAGCCTCCATCCTCTTTCTAGATGACCTTTAAGTACTGGAATATTGTGAGGAAGTCCACCTGAGCCTTCTTTTCTCTAGGGAGAAAAGACCTAATAAATAAAGGCAAATTACCTTATTCAGACCAGATATATTCTGCCTGTGTCCTAATTTAGGCCAGTATCTCTCTTTCAGAAAGCTGTTCTTGTTTCTGTACTCAGAGTCCTTCATGTCATGATATTAACTAACACTGCTCAGCTCCCACACTTTGGACCACATAGCTCTTTATGGGTCTAAGCACAGGCTCATGCCTGGAAGCAGCCGTGTCAGGGGAGATGGGAACAGACGATCCAAGCCCCATTTTGCTGTTCAGAAACAAACCGGTGTAAGCCCAAATTCCCAGAGAGGCTCTGCCTATCTCATTTGACAGCACTGACTTCAATCCAGTAGAGCCCAGCTTTTATATCATAACTTTGCCATCAAAATACTCACAAGAGAATTCAGGGAGATGTGTTTCACACTTTCTTAACCCCGAGGGGATTGAACCCACATCTCCTCTGTCTCATAATCTTGTCATATCCATGCTTTCTGCTTGCTCTGTGTTCAAGTTCAGACGAAAGCAAAAGATTCATGGGGAGCAAGAAATGAGAGCAAAAGAGACTCTTCCGTTGCTATCCCCATAGCACTAAGTACAAATGGTTGATCTACTAAAGGGCTGAGCACTTGCTCTAAGAGAATAACTTGGTTTTACACAGATTTACTTATCAAAATTGTTACGATTTCCTGCTTCACCAGACAGGCCAACATAGATCATTTCTGTTTGCTCTCCACAAGCTATTTGGCGCCTTTAGGGACTTGACTTTGTGTTTATGCCTCTGGGAATCATTCATTACAATTACTGCTGGTAAATCTGCATTATTCTTCATTGAATTAGGAAAAGTTCTCCATTATTTAGAATTAAAGCTGTTCAGAAAAGACTTGTTTGCTGCAAATATGTATTCTTTCTAAGTAAGAAATAATGGAGATTCAGCACTTGGTCAGTTTTATGCAGGATACAGTTGTATTGCTGCTAGCGTAACAGCAAATCTAAACCACTTATCTAAGCCAATAATTACCAAGGCTTGTATATTTTTACTTACATGTTTATAGTGCGAGTGAATCTGAAGTATGTGACATATGGAGATGACAGAAAAGAGGCAGAAAACCGAAAGTGGTACAACCCATGTTATACAGATAGGGATTTGAGATTAGTACTTGGAGCTATTCAGAAGCCATCTGGCCATGGTCCTGGGCAACTGGCTCTCGGTGCCTCTGCTCAAGCAGGGAGGTTGGACCAGATGACCTTCAGAGGTCCCTTCCAACCTCAGCTGTTCTGTGATTCTGTCATTAGGGATGATCTAGTGAACTCATGTAAGCAGTAAAGACAAATTGCCTGCCTTGGTGTATGCTATGCCCAGTAATTGTTTTGTTAAGGAGTCTCAGTTTTAAGTAGAAACTTAAGTTACAGTGAGCTGCAACTCTGGCAACTGGCTTTGCCAGAGATTTCTTGGAGTCAGTCTCTGTGTTTTTGATCCAAAGCACATGCAGAATTTTATGCTAAACATTAATTTTATTCCTATTATAGGCTGCACCTGCCTTGTATACAAACACTTTTATACAACTACTATTAAATACTTGGATTAAAAGTTCTAAGTCACAGATGCTGCAGAACAGAACAGTGAAAGAAATACTGTGGGGATACAAAGATCCCTTCTTAAACAAGATCCCCTTCCCTGTGGACCCAGTTGTGGGAGTCTTCTACCCGGTAAGTGAAACCAATGAGGAGGCAAAGCCTTCAGTTATTATCCTGTGAATAAAAATTAAGGCAGCTGCTGTGAGGAAGAAAAATGTGACAATGCTACAATCTGGTTCAGTACTTCTAACTGTTATGCCTTCTTCTTGTGACTGTTACAGTATAATGGGACATTCGACGGACCTTACAAAGTCTACACTGGGAAAGAAGATATTAAAAAAACAGCAATAATTGAAAGCTATAAAAACAAAAGGTATCATAGCATTGTGTAGTTAAAAAAACATACATATTTTCAAGGTATGGCTTTTAAGGCTTGATTCACTAAGAGCTATAGATAAATGGAAAATCTTCAACAATTTAAGGAAAACTGGACCAAGCCCTGGGCTTAGCAAAACCACCTCTCTCTTTCAGCTATTCATGATTCTGTTAGGAGCTTGGATTTAAGACAATTATTGATTCTTTGATACAAGTAGTTCTGTTTTGATACTTAAGTAGCTAGATCGCTTTTATCCTATTCTAATGCATCATGTAGTTTATCTGAATAAATGAATGAACATCTCTATCCTCTAACTTTGCTAATGGATCAGGCTTATACTGGAGCAGTTATATTTAGCAATACTTGTAATGAAATGGATACATGGTATAATATACTACATGCAGCGTGACTTTTTTTTTTATCTTAAAGGAATCTTTCATACTGGGAAGGTCACTGTGATTTGGTTAATGGCACAGGTGAGCCTATTAAAGCTTTTTAAAACTTCAACACATTTCTTGATATTGCAAGAGAATAATGAGGTACAATATTTAAGTTAATTCCCCTGGGCTTTGGCAGTTCTGTATTCTGCATATTAAATGTTTATATAAGTATTAATGTATACATACTACTACTATTATACATGCATATGTGTGTATCTATTATAATACATATATTATATGTTATTGCATGTTATTTTATATGTACATGTACACACACCTTCTTCAGCTAGAGTAGATGTGGAAGAGATACAAGAAAAGAATCCAGCTCTGTTTCTACTTATTATCTTTATGGTAAAATATAACTAAGATTCCTTTTCTTTGCTATAACACTTGAAAATTATCTTTGCATTCTAATAATGTACATTCATTTACATTGTTGAAAAATAAAATTTAATGCACCAGAATGGACAGAAAATTGTTTTACTGAGCTATGAAAAGAAATTGAGGTGACAAGGGAGAAGGCTGTCAGACAGGTGGTTTGGAGGCCACTAGCAAGTGAAAAGGGAGGAAGAAGAGAAGTAGTTTAGTTTGGGATGAATAAACTAGAGAGGAATATTTTTGAATTTGCTTTTGGAATGCATATGAAAACAGTTGAGCTGTTTAAGAGACATTTGTTCAAGATGATATTTTTCTTCTTGATGAGTGAAAGCTTCACTGTGAGGACACCAGAATCTGTTGAGCTGAGGCTGGCAGATGTCGTAGTGGAGGCTTTTTCAGGGAGCTGTAGGCCTTCAGTGAGCAAGTATCAAAACAAGCAGGTTTTGGGGTTGTTGGTTTTTTTGTTTGTTTTTTTTTTTTTTTCCCTTTTCTGTGCTGCTTTACCTGGCATAGATCATTTTCCTTATAACCGAGAGCACATAGCAAGTTATTTTGAAATATTTCAAATACATCTCAAGAATCTGACTTTCCAAAAGTCTGTGAATCAGGAAGGATTAGTTCCTTTTCAAACAATGTAATTAATTTTATAAGAGGCAATATTTTCTTAGGTTCTGGGACTTTCCTTCTTCCCTGTGGAGCCTGAACCTTTTTTTCCCCAGTCAGCTTTTTGATTTTTCTTCTTCCACAGCTGATGGAATAAACACACTCAGCTAACTAGACTAAGTGCTCCAGTACAGTGAAAATGTGGAGCTTTTCCTTGTTAGCAAAGGTTATTGCACAGTTTACAAGAGCATTCAGTGCGATTGCTCAGGAGAGACCATGTGTTTAGAGAAGCAGCAGGTTTAAAAAGTCTTGTAAGTAAGTGTGAGAATTCCTTCTTATCCTGTAAGCTTTCACACCAAAGCATAGCATGTATAGTATAAGTAAATATCTACATAAAAATATTAAGCAGTATTCTTGTATGGGACTTGAAATAAGTCCATGTTTGCAAACTCTGCAAGACTGCCAAGATTTAGAAATAGAGTGTGTGTCTAGGATGATCTTGGATCTTCTTTAAGAAAAAGTGCTGCTGTCAGCAGTGGGCAAGTGGCAAGTATGTAATTTAGCTTTCTTGCTCTTGCCAACTAGATTCAAAGATATCACAGATGTTTTCAATCCCTTGGTTATGGCTGCTGACTAAGAAACTAAACAGAAATTGTAGCAAGAAATAACAAATGTACCGGTTAAATGTTTGTTACAACACCCTGTTTGGGAAAATGGCAGAGAGTCCTCATACTTAACTCTGGATGCTTGCAAGTCAGAAATATGCATCTGAACTGGCTGTCTGTGTTCTTTTTATAACGAGCGGAGAAAAAGGCACTGCCAAAGTGCTCTTCCTCTGACCTATTTTGCATGTCTACCATGGGGTGAGATGGGTTGTGCCCTAGAATTGCTTCCTTTTCTCCATTAGCTATAGAGAGGATCTTAGCTTACAAAGAAGAGGTTTGCTTGAGCAGTCTTTGGTGAAAAAAGGTTTAGTGCTGTTTATTAAATAGGCAGTTTTGAAGTCTAAAGCTGTGTTTCTTGTAAGTGCTGAGTGCCATAACTGCAGGTGAACTACGCATCTCTAGAAAGGTTTAGGTCTTTAGACTGCATAAACCTTGAAGCAATGGCAACAGGTATTGGGATTTGTATTAAGAAGGATTGTTTTTTGTATCCTGTTTTTAATGGGCTTGATCATATAGCTTCACATCTGTGGAAAAAAAAAATAGCTGCCATAATTTGGCTTGCTTTCACAAACAATGCAATCTTATCTGTGGAGTGCCTGTCACTGTGCAATAACTTACATAAATATTTTCCCCAGAAATGACTCATTTTATTTACCTTTTTTCACAGCTTTATAGGAAAGTAACAGCTGAGTATTGAACTAGAAATTTAATCATGTCTTCTAAGTGGAATTACTTTCAAGCTCTTATTTTATTCCATTCACAGATGGCGCATCATTCCCACCGTTTGTTAAGAAGGATCAGATACTGCGCTTCTTCTCCTCCGATATTTGCAGGTAGGCTGGTCCCTTCCCGGTGCGCGCACACACCTGTGTGTGCCACCTGAGTGCTCTTTCGTTTCAGAGGGCAGCTGCAGTGGCTCTGCTTGGGCTCAGGTCACAGAGGCAGTTCAGCATAAATGTTTCACCTAGACACAAGTAAATTTGTGAGCTGTGCTCATGATTCAGAATGTGTTTCTACCACTTTTATTTATGTCAAGTAGCAAGCTCTTTTTGGTGTATTTTATTTCAGCCAGATTTATAATTCGGGAATATCTGACACTGTTGTGAGCTCTTACAGATCTATGAAAGACACTGAGGGCCACAGGGTTCAAAGTTTTGAACTTCTTCTAAGATCAGGACCCAGCCTCTAACCTGCCTTCTTTGGTCTAAGAAGGCAATAGCAGGGGCCAGTTAGGCCCATCTTTGGCATTTCTGCAGAACATCATCTACGCAGAACTGGATTTACTGTCATCTACTAAATACTTAAAATTGTTTTCTCACAGGATATTTTTACATATTTTATTTTTATGTGTTTACAAGCAAACAAACCTGCTTAATACATCCCATACTGATGGCTTTTCAGCCTGCTGCTTCTGCTGTGGCTATTCAGTGTCCCTGAGTTCTCCGATGGGATCACTGAAAGCAATGTTAAAAGATTTAAAGTGCATCACAGTGTATTTGCTTTGGGAGGCTTGACCCCTTTATTTATTTTGCTGCCTGGAAACAGCTGCTTCCTTTTAACTAGGTTTACAGCGGGCGATTTGCTTTGCAGACTGTTTGTTTTTAAAGATCAGTGTTTAGACATGAAATTAAAGTTCTTTTTTTTGTGAAGTAATTGTATCCCCAAACTGGAAAGCATTTCACAAGTCATGGAAAAGGGAATTCTATGCATAGGAGAAATGATAAAATTCTTTGGATTGATTGCACACAGTTTGCGAGATCCCTCTGGCCATTTAATTCCCACAATTAATGAACCACGAAGGACAGCAGCAATCACCCAAAGGCCGTGCTGAAATGGGATGATGGAAAATGGTTCTGTCCATGTTGCATAACCCAGAACCCTTCTTTTGTTTGGCTGCAATACAAAGTGTTGCTGTCCTGGTTACATTACTGTGTAACAACCATATCTCCCTACCAGTTGATAATGTATCAATCAGCAAAAAGAAGCTTAAGTGGTATTCTGATTCATACGCAATGGAATAAGGTTATATGCAGAATGTTGCCTACATCATAAAGCTTAGATTAGTATCATCAGGTCAGCAGAAACCTATAGCAGAGCTCGTTTATATTAATAAGTATCTCTACTGTAGTCCAAAAACTTTCAAAAATTTCATAATAACAGTCAATGTAGAAGTGTATAGGGAAAAGAGCTCTTAATTAATGTGTTAGTTTTGTGAATATTATTTATTAGTAGTATTAGTATTTTTGTCTATCTTTTTGTGTATTGATATGCTCACCTCTGAGCTCGTACATCCTTTTGTTAAAGTGTGGAATATTCTCCATTACAGAGGAGCACCTCTACAAACTGCTGAACAGTGTGAAGGGAGGCTGGGCATTGGCTTTCTGGAGTACTTGTTTCTTTTAAGAGAGAGACAGTTGGGGGATCCTTAATGAGTGGTGCCATGAATTCAGATTTTTAATCCAAATAACTGAAACATGTTTCTCCCCGTTTATATTCAGATCGATCTATGGAGTTTTCCAGGGCAAGCAGGATGTGAAGGGAATCTCACTCTATCGTTTCACAGTTCCTCGTGAAGCATTTGCATCACCTGCTGAAGTCAAAGATAATTATTGCTTCTGTACAGATGAAGTCATATCAAAGAACTGCACAATAGCTGGAGTCCTAGACATTAGTGCCTGCAAAGCAGGTATAGTAGTGACACGGTATTGCCAAAGAAGCCATTTAACTGGGGAGAAAGCATGCGTCCTGTAGCTGAGGTGTTACTCTCAGATCCAGGACATTCGTGTTTGTCTGTGAATTCTTCCACACATTGCCTGTGAGACCTTTCACTTCTCTGTAGCCTCATTTCCCAAAATAAGGACTATAGTATTTCTGTATTTTGCATAGTGCTATGCAAAATCGTGATAGTACAGATTGTATACTGAAACTGCAAGAATGCATGTATAGAAAGGAAAGAAGAGGATTCTATAGGCACTGTATAAAAGCCAGAGATAGTCTCAGTCCTTGTATTTGTGAAAATTCACACACACAGTGTGTGTGTGTGTGTGTGTGTGTGTGTGTGCACAACTATGTACACATGCAGAGACTGAGAGACACTATTGGCTAAGGTTAACATTGGTTTAATAAAATAAATATATACAGAGTCTGCATTTGGTGCAGAGTAGACAGCATGGGTTCCCTTCAGGCTTGCTTTCTACTAAAACAAGATCACAAGGGTGGGGGGGAAAAGTGACAGTCGGTCCTCACCTCAGCATGAAACTGGGAGCACTGCCAGCTCCTCAGTGTGGACACAGGTAAGCAGGATTTATAACTACAATTTCTTTCACCATGCAAATTTTCCTCATGACAGTAGAATCACAGAAATGCTCAAATTTTTGCGGGCAGGTGGGACTATTAACATTTTTATTAGGATTGCGTGTCTATATGAAATGCTATGTTTGCATGGAAAATGGCCTCAGAAGATGAGCACTGAAACAAGGCTTAATGATTCAAGTGAGTTTGTTTTTTCAAATAGGAAAACCGGTATTTATCTCTCTTCCACATTTTCTTCATGCAAGTGATTCTGTATTGAACGATGTTGAAGGCCTGAGCCCAAATGAGAAGGAGCATGAGACGTTTCTAGATGTAGAGCCTGTAAGTCCAAATATTTAATAACTGTAACTCAGTAAACTTGCAATGTTTAAATTTAATTGTAGTAGAGTAGGTCTTTTACCAGAGGGCCGAGCAGAAGATACGATATTTTCATGCTTGTTTTTGCAAGATCTGCTCACAAAAGTGTTATGGTTTTAGCAGGGGAAATTTAGAGGAGAACTTTGTCTCATTCTGACCTTCAAAGTTTGGAAAATAAGTTTCAATTTTTCCTTATTGGGAATGTGAGATTAAATAGATTCTGCAAACTTTGAAATATGCTATAGCTTTTCCATGACCTTCAAGTACTTTGAGAAAATTTTTTTCTATGCAAGTTCTTCTGTTCCCTCTATACTTATTTTTTTTCATTTCCTATAACTAGCCATTTTTGCATAATTATTATCTCAATTGAAATTAAATAAATATAGATCAGTTTATTTCCAAGAAAATTGCTAGAAGTCTGAACAGACTAGTCTAGAACAGATCTACTACAGTCTTTATGACTCGGATTGTCCAACAGAGCTCTCAAACTGAATGAATTTATGACAGCTCTGATTTTGATTGTCTCCAATTTTACCTCTACTTCTGTTCCAGCAATTCAGATTCTTAATTTTAAGTGTATTTACCAAAGTTTTCTGAATTGTGTCATGAATTCTAAGGTTTCAAAATTTTATTTTGCTCTGAATTTGGATGAAAAGATTAAATGCAGGATTTTTCACCACAATATTTTTAGTCATATAATTTGACAGTTAAGCTATGTAACTTCAATGAGGAGATCTAAAGTTAAATCTTTGTTTCGCCTTATTTGGAACAGAGACATCAACCAGAATTTCCTAAAAATCTGATATGAAATTTTCAAGAATCACACCCTGTCTTGTTTCTGTGGAAGACAGAGGGGAAAAAAGGAGATGAAGAAAAGATCTGACCTTTGTTTTGATATATTTGTTCTGATTTGAAAAGTTTGGTTTCGGCCCTATGCAAGTTAAACACCCTTCTTATTGAAAAAGAAAATTTAGCTAATTTCTAGTGGGAAAAAAAACCCAAACCATATTTTTATATGAAACATTTCATGACTGATTTAGTATTTTTAACCTTTTTTTTGCCTTCAGTTTAAATTGCAAATTACAAAAATAACTACAGCAAAGCCACAAAATCAGAACTTCTATAAGAAATGAGAGACCCTTAGAAAGATTAAAATTTCATAAAAATTGAATCCTTCAAAACATAAGGATAAGTGCTTTTTGACACAGTCCATATTCTAGGCTTAGGCATCCAATTCAAAAATTTAAATTAATATGGTTTTTTTTTCTGGTTTTAGATCACTGGTTTTACACTACAATTCGCTAAAAGGCTGCAAGTAAACCTCCTTGTGAAGCCTGCACCAAAAATTGAGTAAGTACTACTTGTTTTTAAAGACTTTTTTTCAAGAGGACTGATTGGTCTATGAGAGTGTCAGTAGAAATGGCTGGGAAAAGAAGGAATAAAAATACTTTCCCAAAGCCTTTTTGTCTTTCTTGCAAAAATTTCAGTCATGACTTTTCAGAGAACATAAATTTCAGCAAAAGAGAAAGCCTTCTTGAGCAAGGCACTGCCCAAGTATTTTAACACACATTTGATTTCCTCACAGAAGCTTACCAGGCAACATGGTCTTAAAAATAACATTCTTACAAAACCCAAATGGGGGCCAAGAGGATTAACTAGAAGGCAAAATGCAATTTCTGTAATAAATAAAATGAGAGAGAATTTATGTATGCTCTGTCACTAGATGGATCTTATCACAAGGATTGATGGGTCTCTAGGTATTTCTTTTCTCTTCATTGGCCCAAATGTACATGTACAGACGTGCATTTTGGGATCCTGTACATCTGGCAGGTGAACATCACACAGATCTTTAGACCCTCCCACTAACACCTAGCTGTGTCCAGCCGTTCTTCTTTCTGACTACACACATAAGAAGACTATACAGAAAGACATGGTTGCCCAATATGTAAAATGGCTGTTACTAATTGGAGGCTTATTTTTTTTCAGTCCAAAACTATACTGAAAAGGTATATCTGGAAGGTAGAAATGTAGTTAGAGGAGAAGAAAAATGTTTAAGTAGAGACTGGGCTTATGCACCAAATTAAGGTAACATGCTGTATTAATTTTCTCATTTCAGAGCCTTATCAAAAGTTAAAAAGCCTTACGTTTTTCCTCTTCTTTGGCTAAATGAGGTTAGTATATTTTCTGTCTATTAATATTCACTGTTTAAAAAAAAAGGAAAGAAAAAAGACCTAGCTTTTTCAGTCTTGGTGCCTTGAAACTGGGCAATTAAACTCATGCTGTGATTTACACATGCCAAGAATATATTCAGCAAGTGACGGCTTGCATACTTACCTTTCACTGACATTTTTTTTGCACTGTTTCAGTCTGCTGTTATTGGAGATGCAAAAGCAGAAATGTTCAGAAATAAAGTCACTGGTCGGGTCCAGATGCTGAGTGTGCTGCAGATGGTGTTGATGATCGCAGGTTCTGTGCTGTTCCTCGCATTCATGGGTTCCTATTTCATATGCAGATCAAAGAAATTAAAATAAGTAAGTAAGCACTAACAGCTCAGTCCTTAGCAGTAACTTCTCCTCAGGGTTTCAAGAAGTTCAGAATCATTACCTATTTAGCTGTTCCTATTTTTTAAGTGCTAGTAAATTCAGCAGTTGTTCTGTGGGAAATCATCCAGATGATTTAGCTAATGTTTTCAAATTCTCTTCCTAGCCTTAGTCTTTCAGAATCCTCTTAACACACCCAGGAGAGGGTATTGGGAACTATATCAGAAGACCAACATTTTTTTTTTTATTCCAAAACACAACATGATTGTTGTGAGTTTATGAAAATAGACATTTTATCCAAGACTGCTAAACTGTTCAGAAGTGCCCTCTAGTACTTCTCTGGGACAGAGGCCACACAGCTGCAGATTCCTGTGCTCTTCCAGGACATACCCCTGCCTGGGGTTCAGGGAACCCACTGTAAATGATATTTTTTGTTGAGTGTTGGATAGGGTTTCTCACTTCTTTCTCTCAGTTGTGCATCACTCTCATGTTAGTCTAAACATCTCCTGAACATACCTAGCCCAACGAGACTAAATATACTCCCATCCTGGGTAGAATAACCAAGTGGTGGATTAATGCACTGACATCTAGGGAAACAAACACATTTTTTGAGTGATTTATAAGAAGTGCAGAGACATGAATGTTATGGTGAAAAGTATGGTGTAGTAAAGAGACATTTTTAAGAAGACAACTTACCTCACCACATGCTGAATTCTGATTTTATTTCACTACAGGTAACAAAAGACGTCAGAGACAGGCAATGTTTAATTGAAATTTCAGCCAAGAAGCATGTTAAAATTCAGAGACAAAAGGTATGATTTAAGGCACAGTCAGTCCACGTGCTATGGAATTCAACATGCTTTTCCGTTTTGAGAAGACCAACTCACTAACCCAAATAAGCTGATGTTTCCAAAGGTCCACACTTCTGACATCATTAAAGAGGCCACCATGGAAACTATGCTTTCAAATTACTTTGATTATTAGAACCTTGTTGCAAATTTTAAATGACATTCAAGCAGACTGAAATTGAGATGCAGTTGGATTTTCAGACCGTCTTCTGCCATTTATGCAACTTGCTACTTTTTTTCTTCTGGGATTTGCAAGACAAATGCAAACCATTTGCTGATGTTCTGTCTCTGAGCACAGGCTGGGAATGACAACACCTTTGAGCTCATGCTGTGCTCTAGATGCTCTCATTGCAATATTTCTTTCTGTTCCTTCAAGGAATGAAAGCTGCTGCAATAGAACTGCTCTCTGTCCTCTATTCAGGGATGTGAATTGCATTGAATGTGAAGTTTATTATGTAAAGTTACTAACTGTAATACATGAAGTTAATAAAAGACTTACTAAAATACATGGTTTATACATTTTTTACAGAGATGGCTCATATGTTGATATGATGGCTCATTCATATGTTGATGGAGCTCAATAACATTTAGCTCCACAGCTGTTTAGGAATCTAAGCTATTCCCTAACTCCAACCTGCTCCACTGCTCTTACTGTTGCCTGCTGTGTGTTTTTCTTTCTGACTGTTGCTTGAACACCAGACTCTGCTCTGCCCTAACCCTGCTTTGCCCAAGGCCTCCCTTAGGGAATGATCTCATGTTACCTTTAGGGTCAAGACAAAATATTCCAGAATGCTCCAGACACAGGAAGGACTGAGATAATGATTTTGATCAAACATCAGAGGGTTCCACTTCCTTGCTATAGAAGAACATAAATGAAAACAGTTAGCCCCAATTCTTTACAGATAAACCAGCTGTCACAAGGAAATTTGTGCAACAATTCATTTAAGGACGTGCATCAGCCTGTAGACAGGTAGCAAACACTGCCGTCTGCATAAATGGTTTATTTTTCATTTAATCTGAATGCCATATCTTAGAAATGAGAGCAATGGGGCAGATATTGAGTGTTGTGGGCTCTCTCCTTTTCCCATGGACTCACTGAATTCAGAACAAAAGCCTAAGTTCATCATTTTCAAAGATTTCTTCTTGGATCTTTTGTCCCCTTAAATAAGAGTTGCAAAGAAAAAGGAAGATCAAAAATGGCCAGCCTCTCATAGTCTGGTGCTTGGAAATAGTGCAACAATGGACTTTAAACCAGAAAGATTTATCTTGCTAGTAAAGGACAAGATCTTTTGCCAGGTATCTTTAGTAAGGTGTTTTCACCCTTTGGAAATAAGGTGAAAACCACAACAGACTACAGTGCTGTTGTTTTAATCCCATGTTCCTTGTGGACAAAGTTGTGTAGCTATCAATAGAGCTGATGAATCACAGAAATCCCCAGAGATTATTCTTGAAGGCAAGGTCTATGTGGTACATAGCTACACACTCTTTTTCTAGCCGTGAGCTGGAAATGCAAAGTAACAGGGCAGGAGATGTGAAGGAGGCATGACGCTCAAGGGAAACTCTGCTCTCACTTAGAGAGCTGATGCATTTGATTAGTCATGGTGCTTGCTAGTCAATGAAAAATAAGACCTTTCTCTCATCTCTACATTATTGCTAGTGTCATATGTGATGCTCTATTCTCATATTAGTCTGGGGACAGTTTGACAGAACTGAAGGCATCCCTACAGTCCTATGGCCTGGTCAAAAAAGTATGAGGCCCACTAAAGTCGTTAAGTCACCTTTTCCTCTGAAACATGCACAGCCCTGCTGTGGTTCAAGATCTGACACCAAGTTTTTATAATAAAACTAGTCTTTTGTGCCAGAATCTAAAAGTGAGATCTTTTCACCTAAGGAACAACAGCAATGCTCTTGTTTTTGATACACTAGCATTTCAGCTTCATTTTCTTCTGTTTCAAGCCCATTGTCAGCAAGTTAGCGTTTGCTCTACTAGTGTTGCTTAGTGCTATGTGGTGCTCCAGCAGCAGTGATCCAGCAAGTCAGGCCATGATTTTAAATGTCTCAGGGCCCAATTCTGCATGCACACAAATACGCTTGTTCATATGTATAATCTCATTGATCTCAATGCAGGTTTGGACTTTTAAACTATGTTCAGCACCTAGACTGCACTTGAATTATAATTAGTAGTTATTTTGTCCAAAGCATTGGTTACAGTTATTGTTAATTTGTGTTATTAAGGGTAAAGTTAAGTATTTACATGTGTTGAAACAGTGCAGGATAAACATTTATTAGAAATGTTAATGAACTGCAATACAAATAAAATAAAGCTCAAACTCTTTTTTCTGAGATCCTTATGTCTAATTGTAAATAAAGTCTTCTGTGTTGGATAATGAACTCCTTGTCTTTCTTTTCTTGGTGTTTTGGGTGTGTTTTCTTTTCCTAGAGACTGATTTTATAAACTGATGAATAAGCAAGCTTATGGCTAACCTTGTTATGTCATTGTACTCTGGCACATCACAGCTGCTTAGAAGTGCATATTATGTTTCATGTTGCCACAATATATATCGTAAATACCAGTGATGTACAACATTTATGCTCTGGATTACAAAAAGGAGGAGACTTTGTGGGCAGAGCTGAGCACCAGCGTGTCTAAACTGAAGCAATTCTAAAAAAATCCCACGAAACCAAGCTCAGAGAGAGATCTGCTTCAACTGCCTTGAGCTGGAGGTGTTGGCAGGATAGTGTTAGCACATCCAGCAGCACATTACAACATCCTTTGCTGGCTCTGCTGGCCCAGCAGGTCGGGTGGGAGGGGAGCCCGACTACGCCTGCACCTCACATTCCCCACCCATCCGAGGTCATTGTGGGTGAAAATCACTGGTAAAAATCAGATCTGACCCAAGATCTAACTGTCCATATACTTACACCCCAGAGCAGGTGTGCCAGCTTTTGATTGCTAACCGTAATTATGTTTTCAAAGCTTTTCTTAAAACCTGTTCTTCTCACCTAGCCTACCAGTGTCTGTCAAAGTAATGCAACAGGCTACTACACCCTGAAAAAGAAAGAAAATTGATGTTTTCTCTCTTCTTTTAACTGTGAGACTAGGCAAGGACTTATTTATTCATGGGTGTACACATCAATGGTATTTAAAAAATAATAAATTTAATAACTAATAAAATATGTTTACAGCTTTTTTTTTTCAGTAATCATATAAAATCAAAAACCAGAGGCAAATGACTCACACTTACCAAATGCAAACTGCATTTATAAATAGATGCTATTAATTTTCTATTCTCTGTTCCCTCTTTGAATACCAGATATCACTGATGCTCTGTGGTCTCACCCTCTCCCAACAGTACCCAAAAGAGCCAGGGACTTAAAGCCCACCCAGCCAGCACCAGGCTGCGACCTTTCTCAGCTCTGCTGTGTAAGAAAAGAAACCAAATACTTTGCAGTAGGCGCCACCCAAAGGGCATACAGTTTTTCACAAGTTTTCCTGTTTCATTTCAGCATAGGCAGTCAAAAATAATGCTGGCTAAAATTCATTGTTGTTTCCTCTGCCAGTTGACACCACCAGAAATAATTACATCACTTTAAAAGCAGCGTGAGAAAAAACACATCCTAAGTGTCTGCTGAATGACATATTGTTGGATGCAGCACTAAGACAGAAATTTTGATGCCCGTTAATATTCTGGAGTGTTTTGCTAAGGCCAGGGTTTCCCTTGAGTTCTGTGAATTGGTGTTTCACAAAATATGTGCTTGACGTAACCAGGCTCACCCATGTTTTTCAGGGCTCTATTTCTTGCCCAGCATCACTTGTGTAACACCAAGGATTTGTGGACAAATCAGGACTTACATATAGGCATGTCTGTGCTCTTTTATGTGACTTAAGTTTTGGATGCACCTTAAACACATTTGCAATTTCAGCCCCACTAGAATATTTGTGTGTAGGACTGGGAAAGTTGCATTTTTGCCCTTACTTTTTCCTCATAATTTTTCCAAATGGAAAGCCCATATATATGAATGCTTCTAAAGGTAAATTTCTCCACTGATACTTTCTTTCATGATAGGAGCTAAAACATGATTGGCACCTCAGACCAGCAGCAGACGGTAAAAGCCTGCTGGAGGTGCAGGTGCTTTTGGGTACTGACATATAAATTCAGACATTTCCTGTGTTTTTATCACAAATGTGGAAGCATATCCTTCTCTATGTGTTCACTCTACAGGTGTAACTATTTATCTTTGCACTGGTTAAACACGGGGTCTGCTTTGCGAAATCAGAAGTTATCACTACAATTAATGCACACACACACACTGACTGTGATGTGGCAGCAGCTGCATTTTATTCTGCAGTCTTGATAACTTCAGCCTGGTTGTCTTCAGCAGG